CGGCGTTGGCAGCGTTGCAGTCATGGCATTAGCTTGGACAGAGTTTGGTGTTAATGGTAATTCGTGACCATTAGCTGATGGTAAACGATTAAAATGTAAGAGCGTGTGATGATTTGAATTACCTTTTTCGACAAGAACTAGATTTGCAATCTCGCATCTGATGGCCTTTCTTTAAACAGTTGAGATATAGTAAAAGTTTCTTAACTTCTTTCTGGCGAATGTTAGGAGAAAGATTTAAAAACCGTTGGCAATTATAAATCAAATTTTCTGCATTTCCACAAAATACACAAACACCCAGTAAGCTATTTGAAGCAACAAAGGATTTTCTTTGATGTGAACTCACGGTTTTTCCGGTTTTACCAAATGTTTCAGCTTGTGTTTGYAATGCATGCTCCACATTCTCGAGGGTACGACATTGATGCTCTAAAAATGCGGCTAATGATTCCCACTCTGGTAACTCATTAATTGACCAACTTTCTTCCCATTTTGCTTGAGTCACTTTGTCCAATTTTTGAGTCAATAATTGTACCACTACGCAATCCGCTAACTGCTCTTTGGAACCAAGTGACTGCAACTTACATACATGCGAGTTTACCTTGTCCGTCAACGCTCGCAGCTTGCCGACGGTACCATCTGCTTTGTCCATCCCGAAAATCTCCCTGATATGTGCCTGAAAAATAAGACGTTTATTATCAAATCGTTTAATGAGRAGATCTAATGCGATTTTATAATTAGCCTCATTTATTTCCAACGATCGTATGGTGTCAAGAGCAGCACCACTCAAGCAGGAACGCAATGTTGAAGTTTATCCACACCGCTAAGGTCGCTGTCCTTTTCGATGACTGATGTAGACATCGAATAGAAATTTGTCCACTCTATATAGGATCCACTGAATTAGGCAACGTTAATTGTGGCAAACATGAACGATTAGTATTCACTATAATAGGCTGGAATTCATTGTTGCTTATCTGGAATGTGGAACAATGTTAAGAAGCGCTACGCTTTCCAATTTCACGTTGTGGAATAGTCAACTGAACTAAATTCGTTTCAAATTGTATAAGCCGTCTTACCACTGATTGATTGGTTTACCGACATATCCAAAAATTTAACCAATGAAAAATTGAACGAAGTTAGGTGATCAGCGCTGTAACGTGTAGCGGCTAACCGTACTGAACCGTTGAAAAAGCTAGCGGCACCCGAGAAACGGTGCTTACGGTTTTAAGTTACGTTAGAAATTTTTTTGCTTATGTATCCAAATTTACCTTAGTAGCGCTTTCTAGAAAACACGCCTCTATTTTGCCTCAAATCAAATAGGTTTTAAACCACGAGTTTGATTTATGGAATGTTCGCTGTAAGATACGTCCACTAGCACCCACCGTGCTAGTGGAACGAACTAATAGTTTGATATTTAATGTTAAGTTTAACTGAATCACCAATAAACACACTCAGCGATCACGTCGGGGTCACCAAAATGTTGAGCTACAAAGCTTTTTTGATAGCTTCGAATCGCGATATAAAACAACAAATAAGGTGACATTTGAATTGAAACTGCGCGCGTCGAAGGATTTGGAGAATTATTTTGTTTTTTAGGTTGATAGTACTGTCAGTCATATATATGTCAAATTTCAAGTCAAAATATTCATTAGTGTTTGAGATACATGTCGTTTTGTGAGCTGCTCAAAGTAAGTTTTTCGTTTTTGCGATATCGAAATTTGTTGAGCAAAGAATTTGCATTAAATGATCATTTCGCTAAAAACTCAACCCATATCGCTCCGCAACCACCGTATTCACCTGATCTGGCTGTTCATCAAGCTCAAAAGACCGCTCCGGAGACACCGTTTTTATACGATATTCAAGCCGCAGCGAAGACGGAACTGAAGGCCATAGCGGAAAGTGACTACAACCAGTGTTTCGAAGATTGGAAAATCCGTTGGCATAATGTGCTACATCTAGTGGGGATTACTTTGAAGGGGATGAAATTGATTTGGAAGAATAAATAAAGAATTTTCAAAATAAATACAATGTCACCTTGTCTCCTTATTTTTTGGTAGTACTCGTATATTTACAAAAGTATTTATTAATACAAATATTTGTTGTCAAAAAAGTCTTGCGAYGTTTTCGCTAGTTGGCGCTGAGCGCGTAGTTCTAGTTTTATTCGTCGCATCGGGTCATGCTATACCTTTTTGGAAAGTTCATTTCACGTTTTGATTGATTGCCGTTTCTTTTAAGTTGTTCGTAAGTTATAGCGTCGCAAACATGGAACAAAATAAAGAGAAAATACGGCATATTTTATAATACTACTACGATAAAGGCAAAAATGCATCTCAAATCGATAATAAAATTTGTGCAGTTTATGAACCCGATAGAGTTTCCGTTTCCATCGCACAACGATGGGTTCAACATTTTCGTTCTGAATTTTCGCTGAATTGGTCGAAAGAGACCGGCATAGTAGCAGCCGTAAATTCGGTCAAGAGCTGGGCATGAGTCATCAAAGAAAAATTTTATGAACAATTGAAATTTCAATAAAAATACCGCAAGACAACCTGATATATACATATAATACAACGAGTGGAAAGTTTCGTGGCTGGTGGTTTACCAGGTGAAATGCAATGTAAATGCAACTAGAAAATATTGCGTGTGCAGGTATCGAATAAAAAAAGCGAACTAATAACTTAGGCAAAGCTAAGCTTAATTGTTCTCACATATATGTATGTATAAACATATTAAAGGATAAACGGAAATGAGGAATTAGAATAACGAGTAATGCTGTGGTGGATATGCACAATTGAGTGACCAGCTAACAATTAATATTAAATATTTGCAATGTTTCTCACCACATTGGGTTGAATATATTATATGTGTGCGTATAAATAATAACTTAAGATTAAATCTACTCATTATTGGTAGTTTCATCGTGAAATGAGCTGCTCCGAACAATTATCTTACAGAGTAAGAAGCTGTCAGGGCTTACGGCTTACTGCTCTAATAAAACTATATTGTCTTAGAATATTAATATATTAGCCAGTAAAAGGTAAATATGAGATGAACATTACTGTCAGTTATTAAAATAATTGATGTTAGGAAAGGAGGTTATTTGGATCTAAGATAACTTACAACTAGAGAATTGAATTAACTTTCTAAGGCCAGTTTTGGACAAAAATTCGGCTACATTGTGGATGTTTTCCTCAGAAAAAAACTTGAGCGTATTTGAAATGGGTTGGTCATCAAATAATTTTAGTTACTATTGGGTAGCGGTCACTACCACACAAACTATCAAGAGTTCGACTATTCACTTTTGGAGCTATATTGGTAGAGCAAAATTACAAGTTGAAAAAAAGAGTCGGGCACCTTGGTTCAATAATTTAAGATTCACTGTAAGAACTAAGTTTTCCAGAATTAATCCTCTTTGGTTGGTTTGAGGAGTGCCCCATAATGGAGACCACGAATTCATATCTCCAACCAGGATTACGGGCTTGGGTACTGAGGAGAGAATTTGCTGAAGATCAGTAAGCGTAAAATTTTTTGGTGGGGGAATATAAATAATATAACAAATAATCGTCAATTTAAATTCTATGGATATCTGAATGGCTAAAGAAGCTATACTTGAATGGATTTCGAGGCATTTATGTGGAATATATTTTTTTACTAAAACAGCAACACCTTGTTTTGTTGTTAAATTCTGAGGTAAATTTAAGAAATAGCTAACATACTTATTTGGTACAAAAGCGTCTTTATTTTCAGCAAGATGAGTTTCTTGTAAGACAATGAAGTGTAGTGAGATTGTAGTTCGCTGATAAATGAATGAGTGGAGTTAATAGCTTGGGGTGTGGAATTATTAGCAAAGGTGTTAAGAGTGCTATGGGAGGAAGAATTGAGAGAAACAAATGGGAGAGATTCAGACTTTACTCTATTTATTGTGTTACTTTTTTCTGAAACATAATTTAGTTTTAGAGCATAAGAAGAGGTTGCTAAACTGTTTAAGTCGCTGTTGGCGTTTGGAGTAAGATATGTTTGAGCAGTGTTAGTGCTCTTTACAGTGTCAGTGTGAGAGACTTCAGAAGAAGTTTTATTGGATTCGGAAGGTATATGAATGGAATGTGCTGTAGGAAGTTTTGAGTTGTAATTCTTTGATTCGTTTTGTT